CATCTTAATTCTTCCATGAACATGGGATACCATTCCATTTCACTGTGTCCTTTTCTGTTTATTTTAATAGTGACATCATTTTTAATTAAGTTGAAACAAGGTTTCAAGCCTCATAACCTCTGTTAAGTTGGTCTAGATGCTTGGTGTTTTCTGTACAGTATACTTAGTAGGTTTTTTGTTTGTTTGCTTCTGTTTTAGCACTCCAGGGTCACTCCTGGCAGGGCTCAGGGCTCACGGGGCTGAAGTAAGCATTTACAGCAAGAAATAGTATTTATCAGTTTGGTAAAATGCCCAGATGAACACCAGGAGCCCCTGGGAATCTTTGCTTCATCATCTCAGTTTCCTGGAAACTATGACCATTGATAATACAGATGGAAAGAATAACACTTTCTTAGGCCAGAGTATTTCAGGCAGTTTATTTATGCCAAGGTAGCTCGCTTATCACTATTCTCTGGGGGAATAAAAGGTCTGAGAAACAGAAATGATAAGAGTAAATCCGGGGACTGCAAGGGGGGGATAGTCACACCTGTTCACGCCAGGTGAAAGGAATGGCAGCCAATGGGTTGATGTGGAATATTCTAGACCACATGCAAGCACCATAAAACCTCAGACATTTTGGAAATCACCACAAATTCAAATTTAGTAGTAGATCCAACTCTCTCTCCCTCTTCTTTCTTATCCTCTGTTTCTGTCTGATGGTAGAAAGATGCTTTTGGACCGTTGGGAAATCCTAATCCTCTGAGAAGGGGATGGGGCAGAGTTGATCCTAATGAATCGAATCATCATTCCACTCCATAGTCACTGCAAAGTTCAAACAGATTTTTATGCTGTAGAAAAATTGTGCTACAAATAGGACTCCTTCTGATGTATCTCATTCAGATTGGAGGCTACCCCTGCAGCTCTGGGATCAATGCAGAGAAACGAAAGGTTTCCTGAAAACCTCCAGCCTTTAAAACTCACCCACCATAGTCCAAGCCTAGAGGCAAGGCAAACTGACTGGAGATGACTTTCTTGTGTGATCACCAACTCTAATGACGTGTCCAGGTTCGGCTTCTCTGAGTGAGAGTTTTCAGGGTTGTTCAGGATGTGCTTCTTAGCCAGACAAGAGAGCTATAACACCTCTAACATCCATATAACAAGACTCCAGGAAAAGCAGCATAGCTGTAGTTTGCAACAGTCTTTGCTACTTGGTTCCTGTGGTGTGTTCATAGTCTCTTCTGCTGAGTCTCTTGCACACGTTGACTTGGGTTCAGATTCTGAGAAAGCTTCCCCGTCCAGACACAGTTAGGCCAAGGGCACTGCCCGTGAAACTGCCCAGTGCCACGCAGCTGTCCACCAAGTGAGGTGTTGCTTTCTTGTCCAAGGGCGTTCACCAGCAGGCTTACAAAAAGTTGGTGTTTGCCAGCTTGCTTTCCAAGTCTGGTTCTGGAGGAGACTGGAACATTTGGGTCTGAGGTGAAAATGTTAGAAACAACTAACAGTCTTAGACATGGCAAGAAGGGAGAGGGGTCACAGAGCAGAGTGTCGGGGATACTCGGGAGTGCCCTGGGGGGGGGCCTGGAAACTGTCATCCTGGGAGTATCCCGGCACCCTGACATCTTATCTGCCCTGGAGGTCAGTGCGGACCAGTTCCAGAGGACAGAGACAGGAAGGGACATAGAGTTCAGAAGCCCAGGACGGGAAAAGTGCAGAGATTCTAGAAGAATCTGATAAGCTCAGAAACGGCCCAGTGCTCCCCCAGGGGGAAATGATTTTCTCAGGACAGTGAAGCCCACAGAGCAGGTGGCGTCTGCACACCTGGATTTGCTCTTGGGCTCTGGGGCTGTTCCCAGGTGTGCAGGTGTGTTGGGAAGGGGGTGGGCTCCAAAGGCCCCTCGGGCAGAGTTATGGATGGGCCGAGGGTAGCTGGAGGCAGCCTGGGTAAGGGGTGGGCCATCTCTGTCTCCTGGCCCTGAAGTCTCAGAGTTTTGTGCCGTAAAAACTAGGCTTGATTTTTAGTTTGTGTTGGAGTCACACCTGGTAGGGCTCAGGGGAACATTTGGGGTGTCAGGGATAGCACCTGCGTCAGCCACATGCAAGGCAAGTGCTCTTTCCACTGTACTATCACTCCAGCCCCTTATCTGGGGTTTCGGTCTGGTACCATCACCCTGAAATCCTTCATCATTTTGGGTAAACATCCGCATATCCATGTGCCCCTGGATGGACCCAACAAATCCTCTCCAGCTAGGCCCTAGGGGTGATTCCCACTGGGAGAAGGTTATGGGAGACTTTCTAGACATAGGGGTGCTGAGGGATCAGAGCTCGCCTGGGAGGGGGGGGCATAAGGGACAGTGCAGCTGCTGGCTGTTATTAAGGGTCACCCAGAAAAGTCACTGCTGTGCCGAAGAGTGACCAGAATCAGGATGCTGTGTTGCCTGAAGAGAGTTCTTTCCTAGGGGAATTGGGTTTACTATCTGACAGCAATATTGTAAGAACATTGTAGCAGGGATGTTTAGCCATCATAATCTTTTCAGACAAGTGTGATTAGAAGGTATTTATGGCTGTCAAATTATTATTCAGAATTCTGTGAATTGTGGAGAGGGCTTGGTATCGCTTCCCACCTTGCATCTCATTAACTCCTTTTTCCAAAAGAGGACAGGACAGGCCCCATCCTGGGGCATTTGAATTTCAGATGTGGGTTCCTGGGCTGGCAGGCAGGGAGGGGGCTGGCCCCGGAGCTATCAGGAAGACAGAGGAGAGGAGAGAGATGCTTACCTATGAATTTCCTCAGAGAAATTGTATCCAGGCTTCAAATGCTGAGACAGAAGTTCATTGATCTTCCCAACTCTGGACCTGACCTTATCAGCCAGTGTCCCAACCCGCAGCCATGGTGGACGGGGTGCAGGGGGAAGGGTGTCCCTCATACCATCAGGACCCAGGGAGTGACACTGGCTACTGTTACAGCTCACAGCAGATCTCTCTGCTGAAACCCCAAATTTCCTCTCCTTACCGAGTTTTCTGCACCCCAGTACCTGCTCCTGTGAGAACTACCCCACCTTTTCCCTTGTATTGATTATCTCTGGGGAAAGATCAAATTCTACTCCTCCGGTGACTTGTGCTTATGAGCTGTGAGTGAGTCATGAATTTATTTTCCTCCCAGAGTGTCAGTTTACTTTTTTTTTTTGCATGATTTTTAAATTTTGGGTTAGTCTTCTTCCTCTTGTGAACTCTTTGTGTATTTTGAGTAAATGTGTTTTGCTGTCATTTTGCTCTGAGTTACTGACATCTGTAAAAATCTCTGAACGTGTCTTGTGAGGGTTAGAAGCGTCTGATTTTGATAAGGTTCAGTTTGTTAATATTACCCCTTGTGAATTATACTTTTAGTGACATCAGAGATTTTCTCCCACCTTCTTTCCTGAATATTTTGTTAAAGTCTGAGTATTTGTAGTTTTCGTTCTGTCCTTTAAATGTTGACTTTGTGTAGAGTGCAGGGCAAGATCAAAGGGTTTTCTCTGCTTCCGTAGAGACAGTTGTTCCAGCCCACTTGCATGAAGACCACCCTTTCCCCGGCCTTGGAAATGTCCTTGAGAATCAGTGTTGTGCAGTGATTTGATCGTCTCATTGATCCGTCAGCTGTCGTGACCCTATTCTCATCTCCTCTCTAACTTTACATGTTGAAATCAGGCTGCTTTAATGCTGCTCCCCCGATATTTTGGCTGTTACAGGTCTTTGTACTGAATTATGAATTTTAGAGTCCGTTTTTCAATTTCTACAAATCACTGCTGGAGCCTTGATTGCATTTGCATTGCATCTACGGACCAATTTGCAGGGGAGTGATTTCTTAATAATGAATTCAGTTTTTATTGTCATTTATTTTAGTTTTTTCTAATCTGTCTTACCAAAATGTCTAAGTTTTCACACATCTTTTGTCTGAGTTTAGCAGTTTTTGTTTTTTTTTTTTTTTTTTGCTGCTGTTGTTTTTTTTGTTTGTTTGTTTCTTGGTTTGTTTGTTTTGGGTTGGAGCTGCACCTGGCTGTGCCCAGAGCTTACTCCTGGCTTGGTGCTCAGGGATCATTCCTGGTGCGGCTCAGGGGACACCATGGACTGTTGGGGAGTGACCTTGGGTCAACTGTGTGCGCAAGGGAAGCGCCCTCCCTTCTGGCTCCAGCCCTGCTGCTGTATGGGGCCACATCTGCTAGTGTAGTGTTCAGGCCTCACTCCTGGCTCTTTGCTCAGGGGTAGGTCCTGAAGGGGCTTGGGGAACTGACTAGGGTCACCCTTGTGCAGAAAAGACTCCTGGCTCCTGGACTGTCCCTCTGGCCTTGGGATGGATCTTTCAGGTAATGCTTTCTGACTCCAGAACTCAGTTTTTCTTTTCATTTAATTGTCTACGTCAGTCTCTCTAAACAAAGTTTTTTTGATTCTAATATACAAACCTTAAACACATCTTTAGTCTGATTGCAACATTTTGTCTGCCGAGAGTATCCCGCCCGCACGGCAGAGCCTGGCAAGCTCCCCGTGGCGTATTTGATATGCCAAAAACAATAACAAGTCTCTGGTACCCACTCGATGAACAACGGGAAGACAGTACTATAGTGCTACAATATGTTCAGTATTATAATTTATTTCTTGTCTCCCAGACTTTGTGTGACTGTTGTCATTTTACAGGGCCCTGGATTAAAAACCCTCCATTATGATCATACTTAAACTCTCATTTAATGTTAAAGATGGGAACATGAAGGATGTAACTTTAAAAATTGGCGCCAAAGGGCTGGAGTACAAGTGGGGAAGGCATTTGCCTTGCACATGGCTGACCGGGTTCGATCCCAGGCATCCCATATGGTCCCCCCAAGCACCACTACCAGGAGTAATTTCTGAGTGCAAAGCCAGGAGTAAGCCCTGAGCATCTCTGGGTGTGACCCAAAAAGAAAAAAAAATGACACCAAAGTTTTCTACCTAAAGGCATTTGGGCCAGGCACCCTGGGAGGGAACTGATGCTCTCTGCCCTCCCTTTCTCACAGTGCGCTCGCCATGACAACGCCTTCATTGCTGAGATCCTCATTGACAGGGGGCTCGATGTCAACCACCAGGACGAGGACTTGTGGACCCCGATGCACATTGCCTGCGCCTGCGACAACCCTGATGTCCTCCTGCTCCTGATCTTGGTAAGTGAAGCCACGAAGGCCACTGCTCGTTAAAGGCCCCATGCCACTCACAAGGCTGTAGACTTAATGTAAAATCTCTTACCATATGCAGAGGTTTGGTTATTTAAAATGTGCACTTAGCACATATGCTGCCCAAGCCCATGTGCTGCTTGAGCCCACATGGCCGAGCACATGTGGTGCCTAAGAACATTGTCACCCATGTCTCTCCTTTTGAGATGGGGACTTTCCTTCTTTCCTGCTGGGGGATGTGTAGGGGCTCTGTCTGCCCTTGAAGTTCTCTCTTGAGCACATTACTCTCCACTCTCCCATCTTCTCTCCTCCCTTTACTTCAAAACCTCCAATAAAAACTGTGTAATTTCAAAATAATTAAAAAAATAAAATGTATGCCGAGGCTGGGCTGGAGCGATAGCACAGCGGTAGGGCGTTTGCCTTGCATGCAGCCAACATGGCCGACCCGAGTTCAATTCCTCCGCCCCTCTCGGAGAACCCGGCAAGCTACCGAGAGTATGTCGCCTGCACGGCAAAGCCTGGCAAGCTCCCCGTGACGTATTCAATATGCCAAACACAGTAATATCAAGTCTCACGATGAGACGTTACTGGGCCCGCTCAAGCAAAATCGATGAACAATGGGAGGACTGTGACGGTGATGCCGAGGCTAACTCTTATTCACGTGATGTTGATAGAGAACTCAACACCAGTTTGAGGATCACATGGGTCATAAAACAAATCGTCGATGTGTGTCAAGTTCTACTTCTTTGGTCTTATGCTTAGAAATTGTATTTCATACTTGGCAAGTCGTGCCAAAATAAAATGGTTGAATAAGTATGATTTCTTGTCATTCATTCATTCATTCTCCTTCTAATCCAGTTGTTATGTAATAATAGTAATGAGATGACTGATGTTGAATGCCTTCTGATCACAGTCTACAACATTTGCTTCGTGAGAAGGAATTACTATAGAATCACTGGGGTTATTCACTGCTGTTGTTTGCCATTAGCGTTCAGGTCCTGACTTTGACTCTCAAGGTATTCTTTAGTTATTTTGGAAATAGAATTGTTTGTGGAGAATTTATCTCTAACAAAGGTTTTCAGAAGTTATGGGGCCTGGGGCTAGAGTTGGAAGGGCTGGAATGTCTGATTTTCAGGTGGGACCCCTATGTTTGACCCCCTAGCACTATCTTCTAAGCACTACCAGGAGTCACCCCTGGGCTGCGAACAGTCCCCAGGCACTAACAGGTGTGGCCCCCAATCCAAACAAAGCAGAAGGGTCTTTAGGATGTACATGAAGTGTAAGAGTGAAGGTAAGTGATGTTGTTGTTTCTGTCATTAATTGTTGGTCCCAAGGAAGAATCCTTCTTTGTTTTACCTTAATTTCTAGGGCCAAGATTGGTGATCATGCATGGTGACCTCAATTACATAAAGGCCTGTCCTTCTATGTTCTGTCTCCATCATACCGTCTTCTTCCTGAATCTGTCTGTCCAGAGTTTGTCTGTCCAACTGTACAACTCTATCCTCTCTCTGTCTCTCCCTCTCTCTCTACTCTCTCTCTCCCTATCCCTCTACTCTCTCTCCCTTTCCCTCTGTTTTTCCCTCTCTCTCTACTCTCTCTCTGTCTCTCTCTCTCTCTGTCTCTCTGTCTCTCTCTCTCTCTCTCTCTCTCTCTCCTTCATATAAAGATACCAACCACAAGATGTAGTGTCTATTTTAATTCAGTTTGGTCTCACCTTACCTTGATTTGCAAAGACCTGATTTCCATATCAGGAGAATGGCAGAGTTAAGACTTAACCTGTGTAATTGATATCGGTGGACCCCATGGGTGGCTCACGTAAGTGTGGAGGAGAAAGACAGTCATTTTCTCCCAATCCCCCTCTGCCCACCCAGGGTCCAGGGTTACTGGGTTCTTGTCTCGCTTGGAGAAAAGAATTTCAGGAGTAGACAAGCAGTGAAGTAAAACAGGTTTTATTTGGAGGGTTTTAAGGTGTGGAGGGAGAGAGGGTGAAAGAGAGAGTAATGCGCTCAAGAGAGAACCTGGGCTTCTCCAAGGGGGGAGAGAACCCCTACACACATCCCAGCATTAGACACGAAAGCATGAAAGTCCATATCTCAAGAGGGGAGATGCAGGCGACACATGTTCTCGGGCACCACATGTGCTCAGCCCCGTGGGCACAAGCAGCACATGGGCTCAGGTGGCACATACGTGCCCTTCCTTAGTTCAAGGTGGCTTTTGTAGGGTTTCTCCAACCTGCCCCCACATGGACTTTTCTTCCCAGGTAAAAGTCCGATGCTAAGGAGGTTACTAGGGAGGTTGGGAGTGGTGATGGGCCTCTTTGAGCTGAATCACTAAAGTTAATCAGATTGAGAAAGAGGTCCGAGGGAATTCGAGAAATTTCCTTCATGGGGAGGGGTCCAATCTCCTCAGGGTCCGCTGCTGAAGGTCTTATCCATGTCCACAAAGTGGATCAGTCTTGGAATTTTCTTTCCAGAACTTTTGCTGACCTGTTTCCTTGTCCAGGGCCTTTCCCTATCTACCTGCCTACATCATATTCACAAAAAAATGAATGAGTGGGCACTGTGGACTCTCTCTCCTGCCACATGTGTTTGGTGGCCATGAGGCTCTTCCCCGCCCCAGCCTGCAGCCTTGACCAACAGTCACATGAAGGAGGGAGCAGGGAGGCCAGGCTGCTTGGTGATCGGTTTTCATTTATTCCACTCTCCCCATGCGCCTGTTCTAGTCTCACTCTGCCCCTCATTCCGGTCTCCTCCTGTCCCCCCTGCTAGTCTCCCCAGTCTTTCAGCCTCCTTCTGGAGCACTGGGGGTGGCAACTACCCATAGGTCAGACAGCACAATCAACATACGTAAAGCTTCTTCCTTCTGGGAAGCTCTTCTAAGACAAAGATCTCATTCAGCAAGGTGATCTGCTTAAGGGCCAAATACCATCTAGGGATATATTTCTCATTTCCTTAGTTCAACAAGGATTTAAACATTCATTTTAATTCTACTTCTTAATAATATTAGTCATTTTGTATGGCCACAGAAAAAAGATACATTAAGCTTACAGAGTGGCTCTCCCGGAGATATCTCGCTATTAATCCCAGACTACAGCTCTCAGGCCAGATTGGTCCTTCTGTCCAGTCGTTTTCCTTTGGGTCATGACAGAATTCATCCACAACCATGCTGTTAGCTTTTTATCAGTTTTATGGCACTTGGCCTGTCCCATTTTGATGCCAGTGTAGATCACAGCTTGCCTTGTGTCCATCCAGTCCCTTCATTGGGACCTTGCTTTGGGGGTGTTAGAAACTAAGTGCAACTGAGGCTTATGACAGATGCCAAGGAGTAAATATTATTCAGTCAATTAACTCCCTAGTTACAAAAACATAGCATGAACTGTCTTCCTGTGTCTATACAAAAAAGAACATTGCTCTAAAGAAAACTATGCAAAGGACATAAGGAAAAGGGAAAAAAGCAATATTTCATGTACAAATACAAAATCCAGAGTCCGTAGAAGGATCTGACCTTACAAGTCACAGGGTTTGATTTGGAGATATAGGTGATTCACAGATAGGGGAAGAGAGCACAGAGGAGAAGTTAAAGATAAACACAGAGGGATGGCAGTGCCTCGGGAGCACTGTGCTGGGTGTCACTCCGTAAACCTAAGCTCCCTGTGGCAAGGGAGAAAGGACAAACCAATGTTATCCTACATTAACCTACCTTTTTGGGGGGTACAATTAACCCCACGAATTGTCCTTTTCCCACTTTGTAAAATTATAAGCAGAAGCACTTTAGTATGTAAAACTATCATTGGAAACTTCTTCAATCTTATAAGAGGTTTATTGTGAGTTCACAAAGTGTGTAGATGTGTGTTCAGTGAGAGATGCTTCCCATCCTCCCAGACCTCCCTGGCAGAGTGACGGTGAAAACAGCCTGTTTATTGCAGAGCTGCCAGCATGCTTATAGCACGTCTGAGGGGGTTGAGGTAAGGACATAGGTGTGATTGATCATTTCCAGAGATGACACATTTGGCAGAGGCATTCCCTAGGGTATGTTAACTCAAGGAGACACTCTGTCTCCCAGGGACATCTACATTGCGTTTGTCTTTCCTTCTAGTTGTATATGTTATCGATACTTGCAGTTGTTTGGATAAACACAGTACGAGACAAAGCTCCCAAAACTTAGTTCTCTGGGCTCTGAGAGCATGCAAGGCTTATACCATAAATCCCAGACTAAGTCTCCTCAGGCCAGTTCAGCTTAAGTCATGATAACTTGCAGCAAGCTCATGCTTTTATGCTTTCTAGATTGTCCCATTTTGATGCCGGGGTAGCTTGGATGCTTGTCCCAGGTCCAGCCCAGTCCCACAGTGGGACTTCCCTTTTGAGGTGTTAGGAACTACAGTAACGAAAGCCTGAGTCAAGTAATTATGATCAGTGCCCAGGAGTAGATATATTTCAGAATTAGTCAACTCCCAAATATTTGGAGCATAGCATTAACGGTTTTTCTATGTTTATCCAAATAACAGTGTTCTGTAGTAAAATATAAAAAGGCTAAAAGGGAAATAGAAAAGCAGGTACAAACACACATCACTTCAAATACAAAGCACTACAAATACAAGTCCAGAATTACCAGAAAGTTTTAGCTTATAAGTAATCAAGACTGACTTGGGGAGCTGAGACATTGAGAGGTAAAACACAAAGGAAAGGTTAAAGATTAACTTTAACTAAATTAGGGATGCTAGCAAGGGCACAGTAAACTTCTCTGGGAGGAGGGAACGGGGCAATTTACTGATGAAGCCTAAAACATTTAGGGTTAATATTCAAGGGGCCCCTTGGAGGGGAGCGGGTTGAGCTTTCCTCCCCGCCCCAACCAGGGCTCCGGCAGCCGAAGACCTCCAGGACCAGCCACCACCATGCTGAGACCACTCTCCACCCACATGAAGGTACTGGCAGAGGGACAAAGCCACGCGGGTTCCGGGGCCGAGATCTCCATGCCTACTCGAATTGGGGCCC